AATAAAAAATGCTTTACTTATCTAGAATAATATACCCGATTAGTATATAAACCAATTTTCAGCTTGATATGATAAATATTTTGATTGCTAGCTCGTCACAAAAATTGCTAGTTTTTTCACTTTTATTTTAAATAACTGGGTAATCGAGACATTATTTTTTAAATTGAATTTTTAAAACAGTTTATAAAACCAGATTTTTGGTAAAAAATATAAATCAAAAAAGTTTTTCTATCAAAAGTTTGCCTTTCTGTGGGGGACCACCTTAAGCATAAGAAAAAATTTAATATTTATTTAAAATCCATACTTCAAAACAACAATTTTTACCATGTAAAATAAAAGCTGTTTATTTGCAGTTTTAACAATTGAATAATGTTATTTAGAATTGAGTAGTATTATTTGGAAAAAGTGGCTTAAAAGTGTAATTGTGTCAAAGAAAGTATTAAAACTAAGTGTATTTTTATCCAAAAATAAATTTAATAATGGATTTATTAGAATGGAATTTTTTTTTTGGCACGCTATTTAATTTTGACCTACAAGACCCAGTATAAACAGGGTTAAGTTGTACTAGAAAGAAGATTATTTATTTAATGATCTTATCAACTTGAGACAAACGTTTTTTGTTTTTATAAAAGTTGATGCGCTTTTCTTTATATATTAAACGGCGCTATCTGGAAAATCAGAAGAATATCCATAGTTTTTATAGATAGGGAAAGACAAAGCAAGATATCAAACGTTTTAAAAATCTTGGGTTATTGCAAATCTTATTTACGGTCGATTAAAGGTTTACAATATTGACTAATATTAACCGATATTCAAAACGTTAGATCGACGTTTAGTAAACGTATATATAAAAAAGTTTGAAATGTGCATTTCAATTGAAGTGTCTATTTTGATCGATAATCGATCGCTAAACGTTTTATCCATTTTTCAACCAAGTTTGACTAAATATTGACCAATTCTGAACCATTCTGTGTTTACTGGGACATTTGAACCAATTAGATATGTATTTAAGTTCATCATTCATGGTAGAAAAGAGTTTGGATATGTCATTATTAGTCAGGAATTTATTGGTGTCGTTGGCAAACATAATACTCATTACGTTTGAGGCTTTATTTAAGTTATTTAAATAGATTAAGATAGAACCAAGATGAAACCTTGAGGAAAAACGAAAGGAAATATTTAGAAGATGGCTTTGATTATAGTAATAAAAACAAATTGTTTACTTTTGATAAGTAACTTCAATGTCATTTAATAGTTATATAGTTTAATCCGTAGTATTTTAGTTTTTCGAGCAGGATTTTATGGTCGACAGTATTGAAAGCCATTTGACAAGTCAATCAAAATACCGAATTTAAATTGGGATTGTTCAAAGAAATCTCAAATTTTTACAAATTGGATAATTGCATGTTCAGTGGAATTGTACAAATTGAATGATTGCATGATTAGTGGAACTATTTAAAAAAAAAAATTTTTTATCATTATATAAAAGATTATGACCAAAACACTCGATAATTATGTCGCCATTAATTTCATCAGCTCCAATAGCTTTTTTTTAAAAGTGATTTAAAGGCAATTTCGAATTCATCAACATACAATTCTGAGTATATTTTTTTGGAACAATTGCAACCATCCATTGGTACTAAAAAACCATTAAAGGCTGAGGTAAAGGAAACCTTATTAACTAATTTAGGGCCGATTTTGATAAAGTATTTATTAAATTCGTCAGATATAACTTTTAATTCATGAATCATTTGTTATCAATTATAATCGTAATACAAGAAATAGTAATTACAAAGCTAATTACAAAAAAAATAATTCTAAATTTACTTAAATTAACCTTTTATATAGACATAGATATACGCCAGACGGCGCTAAGATCTGCGAAAAGATTTGTTTTGGAGTTTTATACCCAAAAATAATGAATCTTCTTTGATTTACTTTTATTTAGGTATTAAAGTATAGAAAAAATTCATATATATATATAATAGTTATTGTACCAGAATTTATATTAAAGTTTGCATCATTACTATATTAATGTATCAGTGTTTTATTAATGTATTTTTATCAGTCCAATACGTAATAATTTTGTATATATATTTTTTCACGATAAATGTATATTTTATATAGTATATTTGGAAAAGAAAAAACAAGTAAATAAAAAAAATAATTGAAGAACTGCTAAACTGGTTCTCTGTTATGTAAAACATAACGCAGAATAAAACAGAGTTGGTCAATGTGCAACACATTTTTTTCTTTTTCACCATTATGTTTGAACTCGAATGTTCTCTCAAGTTGTTAAAAAAAATTCCTAGTTTGCGATATGTCGTATGTACTGTTATTCGTATGCGCTGTTAGTCGTATGCGCTGTTATTGCAAAAATTAAAAACTTCAGGGACATGAGAGGAAGTCAAGGAAAGAGGTCAAAAACATTTCTTCTTTCAAAATTTATATTTTTCGAATATTCACTTAAATGCTCTGGCCCCTTGAACTCCATGGCCTCCCGGCACGTGCCCAGTGTGTCCGTGGGTTAAACCGGCATTGGATGCGAGTTTGATGTAGCAATATGTAGTTTTCTGGTATTCCAACCCAATTTCTCCATATTGCTATCTTTTCTACATTTTCAAAAATTTTGAAAAAAATGTTATACAACTAGGCGTACAGTTACCTGATTACAAATAATTTACTATATACAGGGCCGGTGCGAGTAGGTGTCACGTAAGATTGGGGGGGGGGGGGGGATATTGCTAATACAATTTTTACTGACTAAAGAAAATTTTGTCTGACTAAAAAAATCCTCTTTTTTTGAAAATTGCCGACTGACTTGTTTAAAAGGTCTACATTTGCCGACTGACTTGTCTAAAAGGGTCAAAACTATCAACTAAATGAACGAAAATTTCAGGCAAAGGGAAGGGGGGTGTCACACCCCGACCTCTCCCTTAGCGCCTTGACTATATAAAAATAATATGGCTTTAAAAAATAGTTTAACTGAACAAGCTTGAGATTTTACGTGTAAACTGAACGATTCAGTTTAACACGTAAAATCTCAAATTTTCTATCAATTTTAACAAAAGCTCTTGACACAGTCAACCACAACATTTTACCTAAAAAATACTTGAATTCTACGGAATAAGTTGTAAATTGACAAAAAAAAAAGTTTTAAAAAAAGTCAAAAAAAAGTTTACTATGGGGATGAACTGATTTTTATAAGGCTCTAAAATAAAACATTTATCGAAATAAAATGTGGCGTTCCACAATATTCTTTGTACAGTCTTTTTTTTTACTATATATTAATGATTTAAATAAAACTTCGGATCTTATGAACATCATCTTTAGTGGCTTTTTATTTATATCAAAAAAAGACTTAAACTTTTTAAAAATAAGAATAAGGAACTTGTTTAAATTTCATTCTGGTTCAAATGCAATAAATTCGCCTTAAATATTGACAAAACAAAATGGATTCTTTTCCATTCCTTTATAAAAAAAAAGGCTTTTGCCAAATGATTTGCCTAAACTTTTTATCGATAATAAAAAAACTAAAGAAGATTCCATTATTAAATTCCTTGGCATTTATTTTATTTTTTTCAAGTTGATTAAGGTGCCCCAAGTAGTCCTTACGGTCTCATCACAGAGCACCGCGGAAGATTCATCTTGACACATTTGAGTGGGTTACTTTTTAGGGTTTGACACATTTTAGTGGGATACTTTTTAGTTTTGAAGACTTTTTTATTATTATTAATAATAATTTTAAAAAATAAATATATTTTGTGAAATAATAACTATTTCAACGAACCTTTTTTCAAACAAAGTTTAATCGATTTTGTATATCTTGTTGAGCACCTTTTCTTTAGAATAAAATTGTTCCGCGCATTTTTGATTTGTCGATTTTTTTTACCTTTTTATTAATTATTTTCTTTTTTTCCCTTTAATTATAGCATAAAATAAGGTTTATCATACAAATTGATTTTTATTAGTTTTATTTTTTTAATTTAATTTGATAAAAAAAAAAAAAAAAAAGAGCACTAAAACAGCACAGATTAGCTAAATGAAAAAAAGATACTAGTACCAAAAGAAATAATATTATGATTAGTGACGCAATTTTAGCTACGGTGCCTCAATATTTTGTTATTACGAACGGTTTAGTCCCTTGAAAGAAAAAACAATAGTTTTTCTTTGCAAGTCGAACATTCGTTTAGTCGAGCCGTTTTACCTGGACCCTTGGAGGTTCGAGTTAACAGAAATTTACTGTACAAAGCCTCCCTTCTATTTATGTTTTAATTTTTATTCATTCGGGTTTTTATTTTAATCAGTTATTATTTTTATAAATTAATGAAGAAAAAAAAAAAAAAAATTAACAAAATAATTAATAGCGTGGAGGATTTGCAAAAACTTTATAACTGGGAACACCAAAAAACTTTACTCTATGTAGATTAAATGTGAACATCAAAAAACAAAAAATCAGTCGATTATAAAAAAATAATGAAGTTTCACTTTAATTTTGTGCATATATAAATGAAAAATACATTGTACAATAAATAATTAATAAATTAAAAACAATTAAATTTAGTATAAAATATAAATTTATACAATTGTACACTTATATATATATATATATATATATATATATATATATATATATATATATATATATATATATATATATATATATATATATATATATATATATATATATATATATATATATATATATATACATATATATATATATATATATATATATATATATATATATATATATATATATATATATATATATATATATATATATGTATATATATATATATATATATATATATACATATATATATATATATATATATACACGTATAATATATAATAAACACACATATATAGTGAAATAAATAATATAATAAATAATTTTCTTTTTTATTTTTGTTTGATGAGATTAAAAAGTAGTACCAGTCTCGGAATCGCTTTAAGTTACTTCAAAAAAAAAAAATGTTTAAACACGTAACACTTCGTAACAAGTCAAAATACATTTATCACAATAAACTTACAACTTTTTTAAATAAAGGAAGAAGTATCCAAATAACAGGAAAGTTTCGAGGTAACGCATCCACATTTGACGGTTTGCAAATATAGTATCTAAGAAAAAAAAACTGTAATTATTGCAAATATGCATTAATAAACCAAAACCCGTTTGTAATTTTAATTGTGTTACTTTTCAAATAACTTAAACAAATAATCAAGTTTAAATTATGTCATATTTTGTAAAAATAACTCTCACTGTGGAAAACGAACAACAACTTTACAAACAACAACCACTTGAACTCGAAAAAAATGAAAATAATATTAACATATATGCAAATAATATGTATAACATTAACAAAGAAATTTGTAAACTCTTCATTAGTTCTGCTATGAATACAGAATGCAGCATTTTAATACTGGAAATAGTCATGGTTTTATTGTTAAATTTTCTGTATAATTATGTCCTTCATTAAATGAACATTAAAAATATGATTTTATTGCTTTAATGAATCTCAATTTTCTACTTTTATGACTTTCTCGGACCAGCAAATTAACAACTTTTATAAAAAGACTGACAATCCTTGAGCTGAAAACTCAAGAAGTGCGAGGGTCGAAACAAAGTCTTATTATTATCTGTAAAAAAGTGTAAACATGTATGAAATTTGGTATCAGTGTAGCATTAGTGATAGGAGAGCGATCTGATTCATCTAACTAACGCCCCATTAGTCTTCTTCCTATCATAAGCAAGGTTTTTGAATCTTTAGTTAACAAACACTTAATCTCTCTAATCTTGAATCTAATAACTTACTTTCTGATCATCAATATGGATTTCGATTTTCTCGTTCTACAGCTGATTTGCTAACAGTAATAACCGATAAATTTTATCGTGCATTAGATAAAGGTGGAGAGGTTAAGGCCATCGCTCTTGACATTTCTAAAGCGTTTGGTAAAGTTTGGCATGCTGGTCTTCTCCATAAGCTTTCTTCTTATGGTGTATCTAATAACATCTTTAAGATTATTAAATCCTTTTTTTTCTAATTGTAGTATAAAAGTTGTCCTCGATGGACAGCACTCCTCTTCTTATTCTGTAACTTCAGGGGTTATACTATACTTTATACTCTTTTGAATTTACATTAACAATCTTCCAGATATTCTAACATCTAAGGTGGTATTGTTTGCTGATGATACTACCATTTATTCTTATCATGATAAGAAGCCAACACTCCCTGATTGCTTGGAGGGGGTATATGAGCTTAAAAAGGATCTCACTTCTGCTACAGCATGGGGCTCACAGTGGCTAGTGAACTTTAATTCAAATAAAACTCAACATTTTTCAGCCAATTGTTATCTTAATAACTTAGATATTCCTATATCTATGAACGGTAATGTACTCGATGAGTCACACCCTTCATCATCTAGGATTAACTCTAACTTCTGATCTTTCTTGGAAACCATATATCAAATCTGTTGCAATATTAGCATCTGCTAAGGTTGCATCTTTATTTATCTTTATTGCATCTTTATTGAGCTCGACACTTTGTTACTCCGGATTCTATTCTTTATCTCTATAAATCTCCAATCCAGCCTTGTATGGTATACTGTTGCCATATCTGGGGTGAATGCAAAAACGCATTGTAAACGTAGTTGGACCTGCTCTTGCAGCCAACCTCCAACCATTATAACATTGTCGTAATGTTGCTTCTCTTTCTCTTTTCTACAAATACTATAATGGGCACTGCTCTAAAGATTCAGCATTTCTTGCGCCATCTACTAAAAACCATTCTTGTGTTACTCGCCATTCAATTAAGTCTCATGCTTTTTCTGTGACTGTTCCTAAATGCTCCAAAAACTCTTATTCCTCTAGTTTTTTTCCTCAAACATCAGTTCGTTGGAATTTGAGATGGTGTCTTGATAGAAATACTCATTTTAAGCAGATGTTAAATGAATCCGGCTGGTGTCTTGTAGAAGGCCTCCTAGGCAAAGACTTAAGGGGTAAATAAATTCTATCTGTTGACCAGCCTCGCACCCCTTCTTCATCTATTAGGCTTGCGCAGATGTATTTTTAATGCATTGTTTCCAGTTTAGAATGTTGAATACTAGATCTTCTTGACTCAATGCATGGGTTTTGCTTGTGTCTCTGTTTTTATGACTAGGCAACTCATTTTATTATCTTCTAATGAGGGTACAGCTCTAAACTTGGTTTTATGGTTCTAAGGCCGGCTGGTGGTCAGGTTTCCTGAACTCTGTGGTAGCTCTCAAAGAGGCTGATTCCATCAACAGCTGAAAAGTATCAAAGTATTAACAGTGCCATATTACACATAAATGGAGTCCCTGTTTGTACTTTTGGTGTGCATTTTCAAGGCCACATTGGAGCCCTTTGTTACAGCTTAGGGTTTATTAATAGTAATGAGGCAATTGCTTGGGCTATTAAACAGTGTACTGAGTACTATCTATGTTTTGAGTCAAGTTCTTTAACAAATTTAAAAATGAAAAAAGTAACAAAAACTATAAAATATAAAAAACTACTGTCACCACCAAGTTCGCTAAACCTATCATTCACTAATATTTGTGGTCTTCGAAGTAACTTTTCTTCTGATGAGTCTTATCTCTGGCAAAGTTCACCAGACCTACTTGCTCTTTGTGAGACTAATTTGAGTTCAGCTGTCTCATCTTTTGATCTTAGTATTGATGGTTATCTTCCTTTAATTCGCAAAGACTCCAATAGTCACATGCTTGGGCTGGGCATTTACATTCGTAAGAATTTACCCATTTGTCGGGAAACTAGGTTTGAATCCCCAGACTACTTTTTTATGTGCTTTTGTTTAGCACCACTTCACTCTATCACCTTTTTCTTTGTTCTATATTGCTCTCCTTCATCTCAAGACTGCACTTTTCTTGATATTGTTTCTGATCATATTGACCAAGCCCTCTCTCTTTATCAATCAGCCAATATTGTTGTTGTCTGTGACTTTAATGTTCATCACACTGAATGGCTTGGCTCTAGTATCAGTGACTCTGCAAGCATTACAGCCCACAGCTTTTGCCTTTCTTAATCCCTAACTCAAATAGTCAACTTTCCAACTTGCTTTCCAGACAACTCGAATCATTTACCTTATCTACTTGACTTATGTCTTATTTCTGATCCTAGTCAGTGCTCAGTTTCTCCACATTTACCCTTAGGTGTCTCTGATCACCGTTTGATCTCTAAAACTATTATCTCATTCTCCTTCATCATCAGACTCCGCCTATCATCGCACATCTTACAACTACCTTAAAGCTGACTGGGACTTTTTTCGTGATATTCTTCGTGATGGCCCTTGGGTAGAAATCTTTCGTCTTCCTGTTGACAAATGTGCTTCTTACATAACTTCGTGGATTCAGGCTGGAATGGAATCCTTTATTCCCTCTTAACGACTCCAGGTCAAGCCTCACTCTCTCCATGTTTTCTCCATGTTTTCCTCACATTGTGCAATCTTCTCCATGTTTTCCTCACGTTGTGCTGCTGCAATTGCCAATCGAAACCATTACTTCCATATATATCAGCAAAACAATTCTCCAGAAAACAGACATCTGTTTATTAGGAACCGTTGTGAACGTCATATACCCTTCATCATCTAGGATTAACTCTTACTTCTGATCTTTCTTGGAAACCATATATCAAATCTGTTGCAATATTAGCATCTGCTAGGGTTGCATCTCTTTATTGAGCTTGATACTTTATTACTCCGGATTCTATTCTTTATCTCTATAAATCTCAAATCCAACCTTGTATGGAATACTGTTGCCATATCTGGGGTGGATCTTATAATGATACCCCTTCTTTTTTAGACAAGATGCAAAAACGCATTGTAAACGTAGAAGGCCTCCTAGGCAAAGACTTAAAATAATACAATTCAATCAAAAGTTCTGAAAAAATAAAATTAATACGATTCAATCAAAAGTTCAGATTATTTGATGGAGTAATGCTTTATTTATTGGCACTAGCATCTTAATTAGTTTGTGATAATTGCATCTAAATTAGTTTGTCATAATTGGTAAAGTTTTAACAATGCTTGTGTGCTTGAATATCTTTGTAAAATTTAAATTTCACTTTTACAAATTTAGCTGCTTTTTTATTTTGTTAATTTTTTTCGTTAACAGCAATTTTTTCAAATTTTTTTTTTCTATGTTTATATAAAGATTACTTTGTGTAATCCTTATACAAGTACTAATAACAATAATACAAAAAAATACAAAAAAAAAAGTCCAAAAAAAAGTGCAAAAAAAAAGTCCAAAAAAAAAAAAGTAATCAGACTAAAAGAGCATTTTGAACTTTTTAGAAATCTTAAAAATTGTGGATTAAAATTTATTCATAAATATTTTTGTCAATATGTACTAATTTTATCAGGTCGCAACTTTGAAAAGAAATTTTTATGCATATTAATTAAATATACTTTTTAATATTTTTATTTTAAAAATGTATTTTAAAAATGTTATTTTAACATTCAATGTTTAGAGAGTTGGTTTATATTTTTCTGACCTTGTCAAATTCTTTTTGTTTAAGCGCTTACCCTCAGGTGTTTAATACAAAGTGAGGTTTAGTTTTTTTAACTTTTGGAAAATATATCCAAACTGAGCGTATTAAAATTAATTAAATTCATTTGTTTATGAAATTTCACTTATTACCAAAGAAAACTTTACCAAAACTTTTAACCAAACAATAAAAACTTGGATTAATCAGGATTTAAAATGTCAAATTTAAACTAACTAATCAAAATAAAAGCTTTAATTGTAATCAGCTGAAAATTCACAAACAATAAACAAGAATTCAAAAAGTTATTGAGAATTTGTACTGAAAACTGAATAACTTGTATTGTTGTTGTTTTAAATTTTCAAGTTGTTTGTCCGCATTTCGATCCCAAAATCCAAAACCTTAGTTTTTAATTTATTAAACATTTGCGTGATGAAAGCAAAATGGTGCCCCTATTTGAATTAAAATGAATAAAAGTTTCTTTTGAACAAAAAAAAAAGTTTAATTTTAAAAAACTTGCTTTAGTTTTATTCTGTTAGAAAATACTTTTTAAGCGAGCATGCAAGATTTTTATTAGTTTACTAAGTATCATACATTTTATGCTTATTCAACTTTTTGAAATCTTTTTTTGATAGTTACAATAAGTAACTATTGACAAACCTAAGATTACTACACCACATAATTGGTATAGTAACCTTGGATTTACATCACATCAACTATACTACTAAAGTGATAGAGTTGATGTGAGGCATGTGTGACCATGATACTAACACCATTATTACCATGGTATAACTACCATAACCACACAAAGCTTACATAAATATCATCCTACACTAAATTGGCCCACACTGAATTTTCATGTCGTGAAACTAGCTAACTGCAGCATGACCAGCAATTCGAAAGGTCTCTTAAACTCAATAGCAATTAAATATGAAATTAGTACCAATGTTGCTAGCTGTAATATCAAAACAAGTTCAAAGAGTTCTTGAAAAAGTCATACAAATTTACATTTGGATCATTTTTTAACTTTTGTTTGTTTATTTAATAACAATACTATTTTACTAGTTTTTTATGTACTCTCAAAATTTTATAAAATTCATAGCATTTTAGGAACATTTATACCTAATTTAACTTTCGGTTATGTACTTTTTTTTTTGTGTGTGTGTAAACGCTATGCCTGCGATTTTCATTAATACTTTTATACAAGGCCTTTTCAATCTGGCTTGGGGCCCTGGGGTAAAACTAAATCGTAAAGCTCCAATATCTAAATGTCATTTATAGAATAACATTGTAAATATGATTGTATAGACTTTTTGATATTTAGCAAGTATCTAAGGCAGTATCTACACTATTGGGGCCTGGAATAGTTTATTGAGCAGCTGTGGCAAAGTGGTTAGAGTTCTGGCTCAGAACCCAGAGGTCCAAGGTTCAACGCCGGCTCTTGCCCAATAAGCAACATTGGTATCATACTCTGTGATAAGATCGTAAGGACTTCTGGGAGCACCTAAATAACCTAAAAAGAAAAAAGTTGCCTTGTTGTCAGGTGGCCCTGGTCTTATTTTATTTTGCTACATTATTTTTATTAATGTGATGCTAAAAAAAAGGAAGTAAATATAAATTACTTAATTAGTTATACTATAATTTATTACAAAAAAAATAATTTATTACCACATTTTGACTAAATCCGCTTTAAATCCACTCAGTCGATTTCAAAAATATATTAGTCGATTTTATTCAACTCGAGAAAATATATTAGTCGATTTAGTGGACAATCAAATTATTTAAAAGTTGTAACAACAGTTAAAAAAACCTTCTTCCTAACAGATTGTGACCAAATAGCATATCTTTTCTTTTTTTTTGCTTACTATGAACACCAAACTATTCACTTATATTATAAAATTTTTATTCATTTATTTAAAAATTAAAATACTACATCTTTTGACAATAAATTTTGAAACCTTTTTGATTAAAGGTAGATTGCTGAGTTATCATATAAAAATATGTTTGCTACGTAACATGATGTCAATTTTACTTAAATATAAAGTAAAACAAAGTTAAAATACCATTTTTCAAGAAAAACACTTAAGGCTATATTGAAAATTTTGAAAACACATAGTTTATGACTATAATTTATCTTGTTGTATGTAGTGTGATTAATTCAAAAAACAACATTAAATATAGAATTTGATTTGTTTTTTAAAAAAAAATAACTTTTAAAGCTATAATTTTTTACTTGATCTCCTCTCTGTGAAAATGTTTTACATGTTCTTTAACCTCTCCAAGATTTTCACATATAAAGTTCAACAAATACACACAACAATAGAAATTTAATGCACTGCTAGCTGACCATGGCTGTTTTGTTGATAGTAACAACTTTAACTGGTTAATCAAGTAACTTGTTAAAATCCTCTAAACAATACAAACATTAAGACAAAGTGTATTATAATACATAAATACAAAACTAAGTTCCAAACAATATAATTCAAAATTTTAGAGACTTTTATCAAATAAGTACAAAACATGTGTTAAATAAACTATGCAACCTATTTTTGATTATAACAAAAGCATTAAAAAAACAAACAAAAAAAAACAATATAACCAATCGAAATACATAAAAGCATAATGAATGAAAACGTTAGCAAAGCAAAAGGGCTCACCATTTTTTCTTGTTGTCTATTTAATAATTCAGCTAAAAATGTTGTATTGAAGAAAATAACTTCGCTAAAACACCAATTAAACTAAAAAGAAAAGAAAAAGAAAAAAATAATGCATTTTAAATGATTTTGCCAAGAAATTTCAAGTTGCCATAGAAATTTCAATTTTTCTTTAAAAAAATGATGACTGCGGAAAAGTAAGAAAAGAGCTTTTATAAAAAAAAAATGCTTTTTATTTTAGACAGATAATTTCTTATAAAAGAAATAAGGTAATAAAAAAGTGATATTTTACATCTTTTATCCTAATCGTAATGTAAAACTAAAACTTTTTATTAGTTCAATTTATTAGGAATTAATTAGGTGAAACCAAGAATAATATCTTTAAGTTTTTTATTGGTCTTGTAAATAAACTTTCAATACTTGTATGTTTTTTAAAATTCATATTTATATGCTAATGTTAATAAAAATAATACTTATATGTTCGTACCTTATGTTGATACATCATGAATTAGTCTTACCTGGTAAGCAGCATTAATCAATTCATAAAGTAAAGAGACTTGTGTGTTAGACCATGTAGCTAACAAAGCATCCAACTGAATAATAAAAACTTAATAAAAAATATTTTATGTAAAATAATTAAAGAATTATAAGAATAACTCTATAATAATAACGAATAAAAACAGAAAATCATAAAAAAATAAATAAAAAAACAACAACAAAAAACATAGTGTAAACTCAAAGATATTTTATTATAAAGACAGATGAATAATGTAAAAAAAATTTGTATTATGTTTGTACAACATTTATTTCACGAAATATGCAGTATATTAGAGACTAACAAAGTTAATCAACACAGGATTAACTTGGAAATAATGGAGAAAATCCTAATATTTAAAGCACACAATAATTTGCTTGATATACAACTGCAATGAACTCAATTCCCTTAACACTAATTAAAAAAAAAAAAATGAAAACCTTGATCTTTAAATTTTACTACTTATTTTTGTTTTTAATGTGTTGAAATAATGTTTTTTAAATAATCGAGATAACTTTATCTTTTGACTAATATGATATAATAACCAACTTATTCTAGAAGTTAAAAATTAATAAACAAATTATGGAGATTTGAACCAAAGAACAAAGGGATTGTTTTTTATTTTCATTAAGAGCTCATTGATACTTTTTAAATCTTCAAATAGTGTACTTAAACTATCTTGTCATTCATAAAAAAAAAAAAAATTTAAAGTAAAATGAATGCCTTTGGTTAAAGTACAGTGAACTCCCGATATCTTGAACCTCCAAGGGACCTAAAAAATAGTTAGAGAGCAAAATTTTGAGTTTTTTTTTTTTTTGTTATTCACCTCCTCAAGGCCGAGAAGGCCACTACAGACGAGGAGGCTACTTAATAGTGGTTATAACCCTCTCTCAACTCTATAACTCCGAAACACGAACCTCTCGCTTATGAAGCGAGTGTTTTACCACTACACCACTACCGCATTGAGTTATCGGGACATTCTATTACACAAGCTTTTGCTGATCTCAAAGGTAAAAACAATACATTATAAATTAAAAAATTTTTAAATGTCACTCTGTCTTAGTTTTGAAGAAACGTCTCTATCAAATATAATCGAGACAGCATTGAGCTTTTGTTGAAAATTTTCACCCGGAAGACTGAAGGGCATATAGTCATACAACACTTGCAATGCCTCCCTCTTGAATACCACTAACTTTTAGGCAAACTGGATCGATTGCATTATCATCATTATTTTCCTTGTCATTAGCATCATGTTCATTCGCTGCATTTTTAACTTCTTCTATCAACTATTCATCTGTAAGTAAAGATACTGTGCTAAATAAGTTTTCATCTGCAAAAACAACATCTTCAGCTGTTGTATCTGGAAGGTTAAAATTATCAGGTTTCTCAATCTGATTTTGAACCTCTTTCAAGGGGTCATCATCTTCATCCAAATGGGCAGATTTCTGCTGATCTTCGGAAATTCCTGCTTTTGCAAAACAATTGACAATGGTAGAGGTTTTTACTTTTTACTATGCAAGATCAAGCATTTTCATTGCATCTAAAATCAAAAAAATAGGAAGATCTTTTCTTTTATCAATAGCTATGACCAGCATTTGCAATACAAAAGATCTGTAATAATCTTTCAAAGAGCATATAACTCTCTGATCCATTGGTTGAAGTTTAAAAATGGTATTCAGTGATAAAAAAATGAGCTCAATAGATTTTCAATTATCAACCGTTGGGGGTGCTGACCGTTTATCTATTATGAACGCTACTTTCTTCTTTTCTTTTGTAAACTTTGTATCCATTTCTAGTATCGACTTATCAAACAGTTTGCTATACATCCAGCTTTTATTTTGATTTCTGTATCTGCAAAGTAAGCGCTTAACTAATTTAAAGCAGTGAGGTGATTTTGATTTTCCTATTACAAACATAGGAATTTTATCACCCACTGCACTTTACTGTGCTTTCCCCCTATACACGTCTCAGATTGAAGATTTAGTGACTTATTAGGTTGCATAAGAAAAAACCAATCCAAATTCATCTGCAATATAAATTTCATCAAGTTTATACCTAGATTAAATTGTAGGGAGAGTTGTTTCCTTCCAATAAACTCAGTAAACCTAACTTTGATTAAAATCATTTTTAGCTTATAACTGATGCTGATCAGCCTATTATAGAGAGTTGTGTAAGTTAAAAAAAATATTTTCTGATTTTGAAATCTATTTTATATTTAATTAGTTCAAATTAAGTAAACTAATTAAATATATAACTAGTTTAAATTAAGCAAACTAATTAAATATATACATAGATTAAAAATCAGAAAATGATTTTCTAATTTACATATTCTATACATATTATTGATAAATAAAAATATTATAAACAACATATTTTTTTAATATAAAATCTACTTAAATAATTCGCTACATATTTTCACATTTCGGTCATGACTCATGTAAGAATGTATCCTGCTATGGATAATAAGCGTTCAACTAGAGGTGAGTTTGCCAGAATACATAATATCTTTATTGCCATATGAGCTAGTGGCAAGGGAAAGCAAGTAACTCTTTAGGACACCATTGTATTGGATTAAATAAAATTAGTTTGCCAATAGGTCCTACTACACCTGCAACAATTCTATTTAATTTCTTTTCTGCTGATACTGTGATACCTCTGCATCAACAAGCTGTTAGCAGCTTGTTGATGTATTATTATAAAACTCAGCAATTATAAGACAAGGAATATTGGCATCATCATCATCATCATCATCATCATCATCATCATCATCATCATCATCATCATCATCGTCGCCATCATCTATATCTATCATTGCAAATATACTTTGATAGCTATCCCATTTAATAAAGCATAAGGATGTGCTCTAATTATGGAGAATTAATGATGTTTTGTATTTGATTGTTTTTAAGTTCTTGTATTGCCTAATTCTTCAATTTCTGATATATATCTTCTATGTTTCTAGGTCCAACTTCTATACCATATTGTATGAATAATAAAATCTATTGGAATAAAATCTATTGATTTTATTCCAATAGATTTATATATTGGAATAAAATCAATAGATTTTTTATTTATATATGTATATATAAATAAAACGAAGTTGGCAATAATTTTAATATTGCCGACCTCATTTTATATATATATATATATATATATATATATATATATATATATATATATATATATATATATATATATATATATATATATACTGCCGCTCATGAAAGTTAAGACAAAAAATATTTTTTCAAAAGAGCAAAAATAAAGCGTAATTATGTTATAAAATTATTAATTTATATTCTCAAAATTTATGCTTATGTAAAAATAAATCAAGTTAAATAAAGTTTCTATAAAAAAATTCTAAATTAAGTTATTTTAATGTAAATAGTAAATGCAAGTAAAAGTCTCATCATTTTAATTTAAATAAAAGAGAAACATTAAATTTACAAATAAACCTGTATTTTACATCATCAACTCAAATTTTTTAAGTTTGTCATTTAACAAGTATTTCTATTGTTTACTGTGTTTTTATATGCAGATATTTTGTGTATTTTTTGTTTTTTTAAAACAAAAGTTTTTTAAAATTTCAAGTGCAGAATTTCAAATATGAACTTCTGCACAATTTTAAAAAACTTACACCTTAAGGTAAAATTTAATTTTTTTTTAGTGTAGATTCAAAATATTGGAAAAAATATGCATAAAGATAAGCCAATAAGTGTAGAAAAAATGGCAGTAATACTTTCTTTGCTTCAAGAACGCTATAAAGTTAGAAAAATTGCTGAAAAATTAAACTTTAGTAAATTAACAATTAGTTATACAATTTGTCGATATAGAGAATCTGGAAGTTTGGAAGACAGAAATCGTTCAGGTCCTTTTCGCATAACAACAAAAACTGATGACCGACGTATAAAAGTCATCAGTAAACGTAATCGAAAACTTCTCCACAAATAACAGCTATTTTCAACTGTGATCGAGAAAAAAAAGTTTCTGTCAGTACAATCAAACGAAGATTACAAAAAGCTAATTTGCATGGTTGTGTTGCTATCCGAAAACCATATCTACGAAAAGGTAATCGACAGAAGAGATTCCGTTGGGCACAAAAATTGGACAATGGATGAATGGAAACAAGTACTCTGGACCGATGAGTCAAAATTTGAAATTTTTGGAAATATGCGAAGAGTTTACGCTGGAAGATCTGCCTAAGAAAAAATGCTAACTCAATGTCTGGTTCCAACAGTAAAACATGGTGGAGGCTTTGTGATTTTGGGGTTGTTTCTTTCTCACTTAATTTTACTCCCCAAAGCCCAGACCTTTCGTTTAAATCTAAAATAAATGTGATTTTCCAGGTGCATTATACAGACTTGATAATTTATTCAAGTGCATTTAATTCATAGAAGTTTTAGTACATGACGCCATTGGAAACATTCTAGAAATTCTTTAAAAACTTTTCTATTCAATTTTACTAAAATAGCTAAGTATAGTTATTTATTTTATTTTCTAAAATCTTTACATTGAAAAATGTTTTATGTTTTTTTGTAGCTATCAGAGCCGTGGCTACATGGGCCTCGGCGATGGTGGACCTAGGGACCCCTATGGTGCCAAATCGGGTTATATAATATCTCCGATGATTCACAAGTGTGTTCTTTACATTTTAATGCAAGTTAATTTGACAAATCTAACAAACAATTAATTAAACCAAGTACTAGGAAGAGATATAAAAAATTAGAATATATTAATAAAATATATAATTTGTAATTAACTTTCAAAATTTTGACAATTTAAAAAATATATATTATAAAACATTTATTTTTGTAAACAAATGATAATAGATTAAAAGATTTACAGCTTTTATTAAAGTAAAAGTTCATTTGATAATATATTCTTAAAACAATTTATGCTGGATATCACAAAACACAACAAATCATGAATAATACAATAGCTAAAACATTTCAACAGAATACTCTTTATTTCGCTTAGTCAGCGTATTTTTTGAACCAATAGAACTAGTTTGTTCATAAACTTGGTGGGTTTAGTGTTCGCGAATATTTTTTATTATTC